TTTATCTCTCTTTCTCTTTCTTTCTGATTCTGCTTTTTTCTGGCCTTTTTTATTGTTTGAGAAAGCTGAAGAAATCTCTGGACTCTTAGCGTTAATTGGAGTTTATTGTTTGAAGAACAAGGAAGAGTCTTTGGTCGTGGAGTTTATATAACGGAGAGAATTGGAAGGTTCGGAATCAGTTGGCGTTTGAGCTCTCATGTCGTTTAAGAAGAGTCTAGAATCTCTCGGCGCTTCTGGTGCCTTCCTTGATAAGAGTTTGAACTGACGTGAGCCGTTGGATCTGGATGCTTTTTCTGGGTATTTTCCTTCTAGATTCTTCCACTTTCCCGCCACCTCTATTTTACGCCTCTTGCGAATTCGTTTTCTTCGCGACTCTGGTATATGTTGTAGAATCGATTAGGGTACGTTTGAAACGTGGGTTCGTTTGGTTTGAGGATTCAAATCATGTGATTCGTTTGGTTGGAGGATTCAAATTATGTGATTCGAATCATTTTTGATTTATGTATATTTTTTATGAGAAAAAATACTGTAGCGAATCACGAATTATGATTCGAATCAAGAAACGAATTCCTCTATCAAACGCGTTTTCTTTTACACTTATTAATATCATTTTTATAGTTAAATAATTATATTAATTAAAAAGATATAATAATTAAGAGTAAAAGAAAAAATTTTCAAATTCAAGTTGAGCAATTTTTTCTTGACTGAGTGATTGTTAGTCCCTTATAGTGAATTAGGGTATATGGGTTAATCTTGAGCATTTTAGAGCTTGTTTAGTAGCATTTTTTGAGTTATGATGATTTGAGTGTAGATTTTAAGTTGAATTTGAGTTATAATTTGAGTTGAAGTTGTAATTTGAGTTTGTGTTTAGTTGTCTACATTTGAGTTATAGTTTGAGATGAGAATATTTTTGAGTTTGTGTTTGAGTGAGCTAAAACTTGAGTTTGTATTTAGATAGTATTTTAATAAAAATTCAATGATGATGGAAAATTTTAATAGGGTATATAGGTGAGGTTTTATTCGTCTTTTCGTTGTGAATACATTAAAAAAAAGAATCATCTCAATCAGAATTAAAACGAAAAAGTTATAGCGTTTTTAAGAATAAAAAAAATAATGTTTATTAACTTGAGTAAGGAAAAATTTGAACTCAACTCGAATCGGCGAAATGAACGATGTCTTAATCTCAAACTCAAGTTCAAACTCAAATTTTACAAAAGAACATGAATTTAAAAAAAGTTATAACTTGAATTCAAACTTTTTTTGAGTTTAGGTGCAAACGAACAAGCCATAAACTAATGGCCTGTTCTTTTAGAATTTGACTTGAGTGTAATTTTTGAGTTGAATTTGAGTTATAACTTGAGTTGAAGTTGTAATTTGAGTTTGTGTTTGGTTGTGTACATTTAAGTTATGGTTTGAGATAATAATCTTTTTTTGAGTGAATCAAAACTTAAATTTGTATTTAGATAGTATTTTAATAAAAACTCAATGGTGATGAAAAATTTTAATAGGATATATGGGTTGGGTTTTATTCATTTTTTCGTTGTCAACGCATAGAAAAAAATCATCTCAATCAGGATTAAAGCGAAAAAGTTATAGCATTTTTAAGAATAGAAAAATTATTGTTCATTAATTTGAGTTCGAGTTTCTGAACTTGAGTTGAAGGGGATACTTGAACTCGAGTTCAAACTTAAAAGAACATGAACTTAAATAAAGTCAGAACTTTAGTTGTCTTTTTTGAGTTTTTTGAGTAGCCGAACACACCTAGTTTATCATATTAGTCCTAACTTTCATTTTTTAGCTGTTGTGTCTCTTACACCGAAATTGACAAATAATTTTTTAAATTTAATAAAAATAATCATGTGTCTTTCGCGTAATAATTTAAAATTAATTTTACAAAGAAAAGTTAAGTTATATGCAAAAAATTTTCTTTGTTACTATTAAAATCCGTTAAAAACTATTAACATTTTGCATTTACTATAACTATTTATATGAAAATTTCAATTATTATGCTATAAAAATGTGATTACCCATGTAATTTTAGAAATCAATTTTAATGTCAGGTACAAAAATTGTCATAAATTAAAAGGTTAAGGCCTAATATGCCGAAATTAAAAGTTTAGGGACCAAAATTTTATTATACTCAAAGTTTAAGGACTAATATTTTTAATAACCTTTTGATTAATTACAAAAATTCTCAGGAATTATACTTTTTGTAACACTTTACTTTCCGACTTTCAAAATGCAACATATGTGTCTTCTCGAAAAAAGAAACATTAACAAAAATGCTTCTTCTGATAAAACTTTACAAAAAATTGGCTTTTGGTATGTAATACAACACTCTTTATGTTACTATTTACATTAATTATTTGATACGTCGATTCCATTAACATTATATATTATTATTTAAATATAAAATGAGATAGTCAAGTCCATTAGTGTGTGACAAAAAATGTGATTTTATCATTTTTTATTTTAGTATTCTTGCTTTTGATTAAAAAGAACAAAAAACTGATGGCATATAATATAAAAAACGTAATTATTTTTTTCTCCATCAATGGCTTGTTGAACTAGAGAAAATTATCGTCTAGTTCGCTAATTTAAGTTTTAATTCGAATTGAGATGTAATTTTATGTGAGAGCTTTTTACTGTAATAAAAAAATTAAATGTAACTGTTTCTGAGAGTGTTTTACTGTAATAAAACTCAAATCAGTAAAACTCGAATCGGTAAAATGAACAGGGAATTAAACAAAAAATTGTGCTGAGTGAAGGTCAAAATTCTGGCAAGGTTTGGTGTTTCATTCTTCTATGGTTGCTTCTGATTTTGCCAACAATGGTCATGGATGTTCATTGCATATGGGTGAAGAAAAAACACAGATTGGATGGTGTGTTGAAGTTCTTCTCGCGCTGCAGACGTCGTGAGCACGTGACGTTAACAACGGAATGGGGCCTCGCGATGTCGATGGGAAGGTGTGAAGAAGATGGCAAGTTTTTGGTTTTATTGTTCTTTTTCATATTAAATGGAAATTCAAAATGTGCTTTATAAAGATATAAAATAAGATAGATTGACATAAGAGTGATTGCGCATCAAATCGTTAAACTACAATCATTAATTGTATGAAACTTGTTCTTAATTATATACTTATTTATATATTTTAATAGACAAATAATTTCTTAAAATAAATAAAATTATAAAAAATAGTAGAAAATAAACCAATATGAAAAGCTTAAGAAAGTATATAGGCCAATTTTTAGTTATAAAAATTAATAGGCCATAACTTGTCAAGTTATGGTTCATAGATAAGTTATGGATAAATTTGTCAAGTTATGGTTCATAGCCAGACAAATTATAGACAAAAACCATAAATTATGGACAATAACTTATCAAGTTATTGTTCATAACCAGACAAGTTATGAACAAAAACAATAATTTGACATATTTATTAACTTATGTAAACTATTGCCCTATTAATTTTAATTCATCTCAAATCTTGACCTATTTTCCTCTTTCTCCCTATAATTATTTTGTAAAATACTTTTTTCTAAAAAATAAAAACATATAAATTGTGAAGTACAAAGAAAAAAAAAGGCTACAACGGATGCTTGCAAAATTAGATGAAGAGACGACTTGTAAGTAATAATAATAAAAAAAAAAGAAGTATAGTTACGTAATTACCAAACAAAAAATTATAATATTTATGTAAAGTGTAACTCTATTTAAAGAAATTTTCTGTAAATAGATCACGATTATTTGTGGCACGTGATTATGAAAATTTAATTTGATTTTTAATTAGCGATGATTGAAAATATTTGTCAAGAAGATATTCATAAATGGAAGAACAAATTAAAAATAGATTTATCTTTTGAGATAATATTTGTATGATTAATATTATGAAAATTTAATTTGATTTTTTAATTATGCTTTAAAGTTAAAGACAAAAAACAAAAAACAAAACAAAACAAAGGAGTATATTTTTTGAAGGGAGAGAAAAAAAAAAAGGCATTGCGCCTACATATATAAAAAGAGCCTCGATGTCTCTAATATAATCGTCTGAAATGTGTCATTTTGGCCTTTTGTTTTAAATGATTTTAGTTATTTGCTTCTTTTAATATTTATTATGTTTATTTTTTTTCTCTATTTTCTATTTCTTTCTTTTTTACTTTTCAACACTTAGAATAAAATTAAGAAAATGACTGTGTTAGTGAATAAGGTAAATTGTAGACCATCATATGTTACTCTTTTTCATTTGATGATTTGATATAATAATTAGTCGGGGAATTCATAATTGCATTTGCACAATCTGATGGTTTGTGTTTTTCTGGCTGAAATTGCAGAATCTTTTCTACTATCAAAGAATATTAATCTCTTCTCAAACCAAATAATGCATTATTCTTTGGTTCTGGACTCCACGTCATATTCATTAAATATGTAATCCTTTTGTCTTTAATGGAAATTATACGGAGCCTAAGCTGATCAGAAAAGGATATGATCTATAATTCCGCTAACTCTTTAATTGGACATTATTGACAGTTAAGCTTTGATTGACCTTTATATTGGATATATCCAAGTCATCAACTGGTTCTCTTTTACTCATTCCAAAATTTTTGATAATTAGAGAACTCATAATGTTCGTTCATTCGAGTTTTTAATTTGATATGTGATTTTATGTGAGAATTTTTTACTGTAATAAAAAAAATAAATGTGACTTTTTATAAAAAATTTTAACTATAATAAAATTAAAAACTCAAATTGAAGAGAAAATATTCTGTCTTCTTTTAATCATTTTTGGTCTACCAAATGACGCCCAATAGACTTTAAACAATGATTGAGCAATTAACTAGCGGCTGCATAGTCAATGAGACATTTTTTTCTCAACCTCCAATGATATAATATTCTTATGTATATAAATAAGGATAGCCGCTGTTTTTTAATAGCATGTTAAGAGGGTGGTTAAATAGTTGGAGGGAATTACATACACTGTATTTAAAATTGATCCCGTTTTTATTTTTCATGTTTTTTAAGAAAAAAAAAATGAAAACATTTTTAAAACGACATTTGACGCAATAAAGATAAAAAACATAAATGAAAACGATTTTTTAGTTTAGATTATTTTTTATTTTTATTTTCTCCTCTCTCGAGCAGAGAGATAAAGAAAGACACTAATATGTTTTTTTACACTGAAAATAATCTCTTAATAAAATTACTAAATACATTTTTAAAAATAATTTATGTCTGTGATTGAAAACGTTTTCATTTTTATTTTCATATAAAAAATAAAATTATTTTAGAACAAATTTTAAACACGCTTGTAAATAACCACTGTTTTTTAATATTATATTGTATATGCCATTCAAAAATTACCACGTCATCCCTCATTTTCTTCTCTTTTCCCCTCTTCTCCGCATCACTTTGCCGGCTGTCATCTCGTCAGCACCTCACCGACACCGGTGCCAAATATTACATAAAATAGTATCAGCTCTTTAATGGTTTTTCTGAAATTTCTCAAATATTTACCTAATTTTGAATACCACAAATAAAAATACATTATTATTATTATTATTATTATTATTATTATATGCATACTTTTAAAAAGGCATTTACTCGAAATATACTAATTGATGAGATTGGTCCGTTAAAAAAATATGAGAGATTAGTGAGTTATCTTTTGAAGAAAAAAGTTAGAAATTACTTATGGGAACGTCACACGTCCATGGACCATTGACGTCTAAACAAAACAATTTCAGTACTTTTTTCTTTTTTCTTGTTTTTGAAAATATTTGAGACTTTTTTCGGTGCAAATCAACAGCTTTTACCTTTTGCAGCTAAAAAAGCTCACTATTGTGAGTAAAAGCAAACGAGCTAGTGCGGAGACTGCCCGTTAACAAAACACGGCATAAAATGGCAATAATCACCGTTAAATTTACTTAAGTTTTATTTATTTTATCGATTTGAATTTTTAATTTTAAATTTTTACAGTTAAAATTTTTTTAAAAAATATCACATTTAACTTTTTTTACGACAGTTAAAAATTATTAAAAAATATCACGTTTAATTTTTTCTGCTACAGTTAAAAGTTCTTAGAAAATATCATATCTCAGCTTGAATTGAAAACTCGAATCCGCGAAGCGAATGAGACCATAATAACTTCAAAATTTCAGCAATTTGAGATTTTTTTCAATGAAGCTGTTTTCATAATAATTAAAAAAAAAACAACATAACATAACATAACAAATTTGAGCAATGTAATATTCCTAGTTGTTTATATATTCTTTTATCTTTTCTCCGGCCCTTTTTGTATTCCTTTTCTTTTTCCTCAACTTCAACGAGTTCTTGTGCTGTTTGTTTTTTACTCTTTTATTTTTTTTTACTCCGCTTTTTGATTGATCTGAAACAAATAAAATAGTAAAGGATATAGACGCTAACATGCGCCGGGGTCATAGTGCAACACGTGTAGAAACGTGGGTACGTGGGTTCAATCAATCATGAAACGGTTTGGGTGGGCAAACGGCTGTCCCCGTGATTGACTATCTTTCTGCCCTCCATGCCCGACAACGACGCGACCACGTACGTGCCTACGACGTCGTTTGGTGAACCAAAAGAAAATTAATATTTTCACTAATCAGTAAAAATAATTAGGTCTTTTTCGTTGTTATTAAAACGAACCTTTAATCGCAAGAAATTTGGATTTAACACGAATTTGAATCCCCTTAAAAAAAAAAAAACCGAATTTGGATTATTAAAGTATAAATTTGACACAGTTAATTGATCTTTTAATAGCCTCCAAATACAAAGTATAAAAATGAAAACAACTCCTCATTTAAATAAGAAAAGATTTTTTTTTTTTGCTAGTAGACAAAAACCTACTTAAATAATATAATACGACAATAACATAAAATTACCTTTTTTTTCAAAAAAAAAAAAAAAAGTAAAGAAAAAGTGAAATAGTTCCAAGCCATCCCCGGCGTACGTTAGCCGACGCGGTCCACATAAAAAAAAGTAAAGAAAAAGTGAAATAGTTCCCAGTCATCCCCGGCGTACGTTAGCCGACACCGGTCCACACACACTCGTCTGTCTCTACTGTCTGTCCCTCCTCCCCTTTCAGCTTTCCCACTTTATCATCAAAGAAGCTCAACACACGAATTGCACAATCACCCAGTAGATAGACAGAAAAAAGGAGGCTTGGATTGGATCAAAACTTCTGATCTTGAAAGTTGAATTTGGTCAAGAGAAAAAAAAAGTTTGAGAATTTGACTGATGGACAAATCAACGGCTCAAAAAGGTTAGTTCTTTAGTCTCATTTCTTTGCTCTTTGCTGTTGATTCAGCTGATACTCTCTTCTCTCTCTCTCTCTCTCTCTCTCTCTCTCTCTCTAGCTCAGTTTTACAGGTGAATTTGAGCTTTTTCTTTTGCTCGTGATCCGTGGATCTGCATTTTTTCAGTGCCCAATGTCTTTCTCTTAAGTTTCTCTTTGCCAAAGTGCCTGCATTTTTAACTTCTATTTTTGTTTTTCCTAGGTTTGGGAAGAGGTAATTTAGTCGCCAATTCTAGATTAGTATAAAATTCTGGTCTTTTTTCATCCATTGTGTGAATTTGGGTTTCATGGGGTTGCTTAATTTGGCGTTGAAACGGCTTTAATTGAGCTGATTTTGTTTTACTGAGGTGGTTTTGCACTTGGGTTTCCCATTATATCAACTGGGTTTGATTCAGAATGTGGATTTTGTAGAAGAAATGGAAATGGTCTTGGGGTTTTAGTGAACTTTCCTGAGCTTTTATTGTTGTTTACTAGAGTATGAAATTCTTGTTTAAGAGATCTATGGAAGTGTTAATTCTCTAGTTTGGATTATACTTGTAAATGGGTCTTTTGCTATGCCAGTTGGACAATGGACACAAATTGTTTTTTGTCTGAATTTTGTATACCCAAGTTCTTCTAATTGTAAAATGGTTTTTTCTTTAATTCATCTTTTATAATTAATGCTCATTATGGCAGCAATATTGCTTTTTTATGTTATTTAATATTGATATCTTTTCATCATAATCATAGCAGGGTTATGAATTTAATTGGGGGGTTTTGACTATTGTCTCTTTTGCAGTGTGTTATATATAAGGAGGTTGCCTGAAATCTTGGACTGAATTGATCAATTGATTACTTTATTGTCACCGAGACCCCTATTTTGGATGTCAATAGATAAAGGTTGGTGATCAAGGCATGGAAAATTCTCCTTTTAACTTTTGAATGTAATCTATGTTCTTCTTCTCTTGACCTCTCCAATGGTTGTGCTATGCGAAATTGAAGTGTGCTGTTCTCTTAAACTCCTCCCCACTTTTTTGAAGTGTCCAGCTAACTGATGCAAAAATGGTTTATGGTCTGGTTAATTGTTCCTACCTTTCTGTTTCATACCATTCTCTTATCTATTTAATTTTCTCCTGGGTTATTTTATCATCTGTTCTTCACTTGGGAAATTATAATTGGTTTCTTATAAAGCAAGACATGTTGGCTATCTTTTTATGTTGTGGTTCAGTAATCATGATGCTGTTTATAATTATTTGTTCTTCTCTTTCAAAATGGTTAGCAGAATTGTCAACTTTTTAGCCAATGATTAGCATAAGAGATTTCATTTTTTTCCTTTCAAAATAAGGATTGATTTGCTGATGTTTGAGGCTTTTTTAGTACATAATTTTGAACCCAAATAGGTCTTGAAAGTTTTGAAATAAAACGCAAAATTATGTATACAGGTGCTTACTTTGCACAATGTACCTGAAACATAGTTGAAACCCTTTAAAGAGAGTCGTAGGTCAAGTTTGATTTTCAGAATGATAGAAATGTATTTGATGAGACATTTATTGTATGCTACCCTTTCGACTATTTGTGCAAATAATAAAACATGCAGATGTTGAACACATCACATATCCATATCAGAAACAAAGACTAGTTGATGGGCTTATGTTGAAGCTATTGTTCATAATCCGATTAAACTAACATTAGTTTGGTGTATTCAATGGTCCTAGTTTGCAACTTTTCCCTGTATATTGTGGCATTTGAATTTTTGCTCAATCAAATTAAAGCTGGAATTTATAAGCGTTAGTCTAGTCTATTCAATGCATTTTAAATAGACCTGTTGAATCCAGCCATGAAGTTCTGCCAACTTCTGGTTTATTTGTTATCACCAAGTATTCAAATCTTTCTTGAAGCCAACTTTCCACTTTTGCATCGTATCAAGCTGACTTTGTTGACAAAGTCATTTGACTCCCTGGGACACTGAACCGACTTTTCTGAGGCCACTGGAGGTTAATAACTAAAGTCCTGAATTTCACCAAGTTGTTCTTTTCCTTCACATTGTCAGTTGTGGACCCTTAGTAACAGGAAACTACCTTACTAGCCAATTAGGCATAGTCAAAGGATATCTGTGTGACTGTAGTATATATTTGTAGTTGATTAAATCACTTATTAATTTATCCTTCTAAAGCCTGTCCAAACTTGTGTTTGAATGGGTTTTCACATCGTGTTAATAACTTTCTGTGTAGCATACTGTTTCTGTATTCTTCCGTTTCTGGAGAAAGCAAACTCAGGCACTATGGAGCATGCTGCTATAATTTGAGAAGAAGTTGTTTCTTATAGCTCTTGAAATATATGACATCTTCCTTTTGAAAACAATATTGTGGAGCCTCTCTCCCTCCCTCCCTCAGTACTATAATGTTTGGCATAATGATGCAATTTGCTTCATCTCTTTAATCTTAGTGTCTTTCCAACCAGGTCTTGAGTTAGTTGATTAGGGCTAGCATCACAGATAATTGCATCAGATCAAAAGCGGACGTGATGAATATGTGACTGGATTGATCTCTGAGGCCTTATGTAGTTAAATGAGCACCATTATTTTTCTTTCTTAGTTTTATGCTAAGAGTGTTTTTAATGGAGTCTTTTGTTGATGACTTGATTTTCAAAAATAAGCTACGAAATCACCATATATAGCATGTTGTCGAATCTTTTAGGCATTCTCTATTATGATTCTTTTTTATTTGGTTATGGAGAAAGATGGAAATAGCTTGTATGCTTGACTTCTGAAAGTTTTCCTTTGGCAGGTCTGCGTTGGATTGAGCTAAAGTAACTGCCATTATGGGTGTCTCAGGGAGATGGATTAGAGCTTTGGTTGGTTTAAAGAAATCGGAAAAATCGCCGTCTTCTGAAAAGGATGAAAATGTCTGTATAAGTTTGCCCTTTCAACAGTTCTAGTGTTATTATAGTGAAGTTAAATAGCAGTGTTTTTTTTTTGTTTTAAGTTGTTTTTCACTCATCACAGAGAGCTACTAGCAAGTCGCGCCACCGGAGAAAACATTCTGCTGAATTTGAATGTGATAAACTTCAGTATGATATTGATCCAAATGATACTTCAACATCTAGAGATACTAGTACTCCTCATTTAAACCAAGAATCAGCTGATTCTCCTTCTAGTTCACTTCAAGTACACGAGGCAGTACAGAGTCAGCAGAGTGATAGGGAAGAATGGGCTGCAATACGTATTCAAACAGCCTTTCGCGGCTTTCTGGTATGCAATTCGTGTGATGACAAGCAACTTTCTTTAACCAGAAAAAAATTGAAATTTTTTAAATTTTCCTTTCTTGGTCCTTTCCTTTGGTAGCAGAAAAAAATATTTCAGATATTTTTCCCTTCTTTATCTCCTTTTTGGTAGCAGGGTAATATTTTTAGTTGAAAGGTGGATTTAAATCCATGTTTCTTGTGAGGGTTCAGTCACTAATGCATGCACTTCTGAAACATTTGGATTTCAAATTCAATTTTTTTTCCCTTATAAGTAGAAATCATAGAAGGGAAAAAAGGTGGGGACAACATTGTGTAAAGTAATAGGTGAAAATACTAAATCAGTGGATAGAAACGAACAATTAGTCATCCCATTATTAGATTTTCCTGTGAACAAGTGTTTAGACATAAGTGCACCTTATTAACAAATAACAAATAATAAGATTGGGCATTTGGGTGCTGTGAAAATAATAATAGGAATATCAAATATTTATGGGAGATATTTAATTAAATTTTGAGGACTCCTTTTGCAGGGGTGTATAGGACAGCATACAGGAAAGACATAGAAAGAGAATGAGTTTTTGGAATGTGTTAAAAGTTTCATGTGACAATTTCCTTATGTATGTATTTTGTAATCAAATGACACATTACAGATGAGACTGAGAAAAGCGAAGTTCTCTTGTTTTGGACCCTTTTTCTGTGGGGCAGATAAAGAGGAAGGAGGGGGTGGTAACAGAGGAAATAATCCGATTAATGTGAATTAGATCTTCAATTAAGAGAGCACTCCGCAATATTCATGCTAGGAGTCCAACATTATGGAATGAGTAGTGCAGAGCTCTTTCTCAAATAAAGTTTATACCATACTTTTTCCGTTGCTTCCACTACTAACCTTGCTTTATATTACCATCATCATCGACCCTATTTCTCTCCAATCTGATGTTGTTTGCTGCCTCTATTTCCTGGCCCAAAAGTTTATCACCACCCAGAAAATGTTTAGTTTCTGCCTATTTGCTAGCCATTCTTCCTAACATTGTCTTACTATTTGTTCAATCCAGACTCTTCTAATCTTTCAAGACTAGATTAGCAACGTGTGTCCCTTGTAACTTCTGGAAAGTTTTGCATCTGCAATTGGTTTTTCCTTTCTTCAAATTGGGGCAAGATCTTGCTCTAACTGCTAGCGCATCAAATTAGTAAAGGTTTATCAGGAGACTAAAGATTGTAATGAAAATTTATTAGGAAGAATACAAAAAGCTACTGTTTCTGTAATTTGCTTGGACTCTCATTTTCCCAGTATTGTGGTTTGTTTTGTGCCCGCAACAGGCCAGTTTTATGCACTTCCATTCTACTTCGTTATTGATTCCTTTTTGCACCTTCTTAAGCACTTTTAATAAGCTTTCTGCCTAGCAGTTGTTATCAGATCATAATCTCTCGTTGAAATGCATCAGGCGAGAAGAGCCCTACGAGCTCTCAAAGGGTTGGTAAGACTTCAAGCCCTTGTTAGAGGTCATGCAGTGAGAAAACAAGCTGCCATAACTCTTCGCTGTATGCAAGCTTTAGTAAGAGTCCAAGCTCGTGTGCGAGCGAGGCGTGTTCGTATGGCATTGGAAAATCAGGCGGCAGAACAGACACTTCAGCAACAACTTGCAAATGAGGCACGTGTCCGCGAAGTAGAAGTAAGTAATTTTTGGTACATGTATTTAATATATTATTGTGTTGAGAGGAAAGAGAAAACATAATGTTCTGTTTTTCACTTTTTATATCCCCACATGGTAAGATGACTGAATCCGATGAACAGACGCCTTCAAATTCGGACTACTGGTCTCTGTTTCTTATTGAAAATAATAAAAGCATGACAAAAAATTGAATTCTAACAACTGGTGCAAGTACATGCTCAGTTCAAGGTTCCAAGTAAATAAAAGAATCTGGAAGTGATTGAGTGATATGAGCTATCTTGGTAAGTTAATGGAAACAAAAGAGAATACAACCAGATTTTGTTAAGGTAAGGCCATTAAGATAATTGAGCTGTTTGGTACATCTTGACTGTTATTTTAAACCATGCTCCAAATAAGTTTTGAAGCTCCGTTAACCGGACCCTAGTTCTTATTGTGGTTAGGGCCTACTTAAGCTCCTGCCTCATTTTCCAAATCTTTTACTGATTTCATAAGTTTCGGAAAGAGATGTAATGGTTTCTCTATGGTAAACTAAACTATGAATCACCTCTAATATGTATCTTAAGTGAAAGACGAAACTTTCAGGGAACGTTAAAAGAACTCTATTCTCCAACGATGCGGCATTGGATAGATAACCCAATCGTAGTTGCATCTCAGAGTTCACTTCTATGCGTGCCAATAGTTGCATGGATATCTGTTTCAATTACTGCATTGCAAGTCATTCTGTGAATAAATAGTCTTTGAATAAATCTGTTTCTGAGACTATGTACCTTTTCTTCTTGTTCCATACCGATAGCTTTAGTTGTTTTAGGTTCGTTGCTGGTGTCATGCAACGTCTTACTGTTGTGCAGGAAGGTTGGTGTGACAGCGTAGGATCTGTTAAAGAAATTCAGGCCAAGTTGTTAAAGAGACAGGAGGCAGCAGCAAAGCGTGAAAGAGCTATGGCATATGCTTTAGCTCATCAGGTGAGCATGACAATTCTCTCACAGTTGAAAAGTAGGAAAAATAAAAGACTCAAGACCCTTGGACTAATTTGCTAACATACTTGGACTGGCTCTTTGAATTTTAACTAAGATGCTTAAACTGAATTTTTGATCGTCTAAATTCTGATTAGTGAAACTATATAGCCCTCACCCAGTGTGAAGATTCTCATATTCAGTTAGAGATAGGCCCAAGAGCCCAACATCATCCGATCTCCAGAAGGAATTCGTGATATTTAGAGCCCATTTGGTTTATGCGTTTAAACCAGTGATTTTTTGTTTTAGCATTTGAAATTCAAATTTTTTGTGAGAGGAAAACACTGTAGTAGAATCAAAATCACGGGTTTAAACGCGCGAACAAACGAGCTCTAAATATTTCTCAGCAGTAGTACACTTTCTTTTCCTGATCTTTTTGGTCATTTTGTAGTGTTGCAATATTGGAAAGCTGTTATGTTTAGATAAATCTTGAGTGAAGTTTTTGAATGTGCAGTGGATATAAACATGATGTATATCTGTTTTACCAACCTAAACCCTGGAGATATTAACAAAGTTTTTACTGTTTCGAGTCACCAATTCCTTCTTCCTCAATATATAATGTGGATACACTTTTTTGAATAAATTATGTGGACTCTACTGATATAAATATGTTATTTTCACTACTTTCAATACACTGATTTTTAGAGAAAAATAGGAGCAATAAGAACTATTGAGTTAAACCTACTTATATTCTATTTACAACAAATCTTTGTTTTATTATTGACATCCTCTATTCATCTTCTTATAATTATACCAAAGGGATTAAAATAGGTTAGCAATGAGATCATTCAAAGATTTCAAAATTATGTTAGGCATACCGAGACAAATCACAATTGCAACATAATGCTCCATCCATATAGTCTAGTTGTCAAGTAACCATTGGTTTGAACAGACAGTTATGAGCTTATACATATGATAAATTTCTCTTCCTGCAGTGGCAAGCAGGATCCAGGCAACAGGCTGCTCCTCCAGGATTTGAACCAGATAAGAGCAGCTGGGGTTGGAACTGGTTGGAAAGATGGATGGCCGTCCGCCCTTGGGAGAATCGCTTTTTAGACATTAATCTTAAAGATGGATTTAAGGTGCGAGATAATGGGTCAGCTGAGAGTAAAAATGTCACAAAACCCCAGTTAAAATCTGTTGGGAAGAAACCGATTACATCAAATGTTCAGTCAAAATTTTCAAGCCAGAAAACTGGTCCTTCTTATTCCGATTGCGGCAGTTCTTCACCTAGCAAGTCAGTACTAGAGGCATCCAGCACACAACTTTCTAAGGCAAAGTCGAAGCCATATGTGGAAGATCAAACTCAAGAAGGCAACTCAAAACCTTCTGTTACTTCAAGATCTCATAGCAATCCAAAAGAGAGATCCACGCAAACTGATAAACAGGCAAAGAAGCGGTTGTCTCTACCCAATAGCGGTGAGCTTGTTCTCTCTCTCTCTCTCTCTCTCTCTCTCTCTGTGTTAGATGTATTAGGGTACAAAACATATTTTTATTCCGCGTGGAAGGGGCTAGTCTTAACTGTAAGGGCAATTTTTTTCTTGGTTAGTTGAATTAAAACGTATTGCACGGCTATATCCTTGAAGGAGAATAATAATTTGTCTCGTTGATGTTCTGATAGTGTGGGTCAGTGTATGCCTTAGTGCCTACAGGAAATAATAAAATACTAAATTCTAATTCTTCTTAGTGCTTCTTCCAACAACGCCTAGTGTAGGTGCATAATTTTGCATATTGTTCCTCATCAGATAGGTACTACAACATGTATAATCGAACCTATACAAGAGGCAAGAGAAATAAATTATGACACAAGAAGATGAAACATTTCGGTGCAAGAAGATGAAACACGAAAAAAAAAAAAAAAAATTATAATGGGTAGATCTGTCGTGCTCGTGTTTCCAAGTCACCTGTCCATGAACACAAAAATGCTACCTTTATCTCCTTAGGCACGGGTCGTTACATTTCTATAAATACCTTTTTGCTGTTCGTTCATGCTTGTATTTTATTTTGTTCGCGGTTGTTGGTTGGATCAGGAGTAGGTTCTGGTGTTCAAGCAGCCAGACAAGTCTATAGAAGTGCTGCTAAAGGCACACCCAATTCCCAGAAGCCCGTTAAGGAAAGATCTAAACCTAATGGAAGAGAGGATTCAAATCCCGCAAAGTCTATCTTGGACGCGAAGGACCCGTAGCGCTTTAAAAATCGCTGGTAAAGTAATTTTCTTAGGCTATTCTTCATTGAGCTCTGCTGTTTGAGGCTGTACATATTGAGCCAATCGGTGAATGGAATTCAACCACATTGCATTTATTAGTGTACAAACATATGAAGTGGTTAAGCCGGGTGTCCAGGGGATTATGCTTGCAACCGGGAACGAGAATAGCCGGATTAGTGTGTGATAATTTGTCCTATTTGTTGTTGTGAATTATACGTGATTATGCTGTTTCTTTTTTTTATAAATGTACAAATTCCAGAGCTGTTGACCTTCATATTATTTTCATTGTTTTGTCCTCCTTTTCTTGTAATTTTTGTGTATGGTGGTACTCTTGATCCGTTACATAGAAAGGATTAGGATTGGGGTTAAAGCCATGATATGAGATCTACGATTGCAGCTGCAGGTGTTGAGTGAACTCAAATTTATGTAAACGTTTTCATGCATTTCTTGGACATGAAGAAATTATTATCATCAGTAGTATTTCCTTATAAATATACTATAAGATGCGCCCCAAATGGTGACTACGCATAGCCAAGCCATACTGTTTTCTGTTTCGTTTGTTTACAGCATTATATATATATATATATATATGAGTGAAAATGTATTATGGGTTTAGTATGTTGATTTTCGTTTTTAATTTGATTTGAGATGTGATTTTATGTGAATTTTTTACTGTAGTAAAAAAGTTAAATGTGACTGTTTCTAAGAGTTTTTTACTGTAATAAAACTCAAATCGGTGAAATGAACGGGCCTAAGGTTAGCCTTTACTAAGTACATAGATTAGTAAACAAGTATAATGAATTTACGAAATAAGTGAATTAGTGAATATTAGGTAATTAATGTTTTCTTTGATACACGGTGTTTAGTGAATTTACTAAGCACATTAATTTATACGTATTAGTCCTTAAAAAAAACGTACGTATTAGATAAAGGGAGAAATAATAAATAATAGATTTAAGAAACTAAATTAAGTAAATAGTAAATTTTAAAATGATTTGAAATAAATATATATTTACGTGGTAAATTATTTACCACGTAAATGGTTTTGTTACAATTAGTAAAAACATTTTTTTCACGTTAATTTTCTTTGTATGACTGGGAAAATGGTTTTTTTTTTTTACATGAATAAAGATTTTTTTAAAGATTTTTTACCATATAAGTTATTTTTTACTTGTCATAAATGAATCATTTACAACATGTAAACTGCTATTTACTTTAAATAGTTTTAAAATATGCTATTTACTTAATTTAGTTTCAAATTTTTGCTATTTATTACAATTTTTCTTAGATAAATAATGTATTTATTGGGATAATTTACCGATACTTGAGTCCACCACATGGTGAAGAATTTGAATCTCCCTTACTCAGTTACAAAAATTAGGTAAATAATGCAATCAGATTAGTAAATATTTAGGTAAATAATGTATTTGCTAAATATGAAAATTGATTAATATTTAATTATTAAGGGCATATTTATTTAACCGTATTAGAGCACATTATTATATTACACTACATTAATACGATGTTTGTTGTGGCCATCGTATTGTATAAACTAATACAAATGATAAATTAATACGGTTTGTGTCGTATTATTGAATACGGTTCATTTTTAGCGTATTGTATTATTATATTCATGTCGGGGTTGAGGTCGGGTCAACATAGAGTCATGTTAGAACTCATAATTGTTTAAAAATTGAGGGGGCATAACGCAAATTTATGTTTTAAAAAATTATAATTTGACCCCTCAATTTTTATAAAATAACATTTCGACCTAAAAAATTTTATAAAAATTACATTTTGGCCGTAATGCTTTTAAAATTTTACATTTTAATCATTTGTACAATATGTCATGACACCACACAATATTATATTATGATAATACAACACAATACAACATGATACAATACAATACATGCTACCAAATATGGCCTAAATAAGTATCAAGTAGATATTGATAATTGTGTAGTTACTAAGGACAAAAATTAGTAAATAATTTATTTTATTAAGTAAAATTTCGGTACTTAAAAATAAAATATTGATAAACATTAGGTCAAATTGGTAAATAAATAGGGTCGATAATTTGAATTGCAACATTATAATATAGAGCTGTCAATTTGATTTGGCCAAACGAGCCAACATCGATCCCAACTCTTTAGTTAAGGTATGGCTCGCATGAAAACCCAAAGTCAAGCAGGGTCAAAGATCTAGCCTGACACCTGATTAGCCTTTTTTTTTTTTTTTAAAAAAAATCTTATATAAAATAAAACCTATCCGTCAACCTGAAATAAATCCGCAAAATTCATTTAATAATTGTGTCATATCAAAGTTGACACAAATATGACCCATGAATATCTATTTATAAATTGTTAGTATTAGGTAAAAAAATTATTTATCAAGTGAAAGTTGGATAAATATTAGCTAGGTATTGGTAAATATAGAGAAATTATGGTAAATAACGTATATGAAACTGACTTAAGTAAATAATATATTTTAAAATTATTTAAAATAAATAACTGTGTAAATATTTTATTTATAATTGGTAAGAAAATAATAATAATAAAAATATCAAATTATTTTATTAATTTTACAAAACTTCAACTATTTATTAAAAAAAATCCCTGAAACTATCTGCCTTTATATATCCCCGTGATTTTATTGGATTGTTGCAATTAACTTTTATTTAAACTTTCAAAAATACCAAATATAATAACTAAAAACAAAAAAAAAAATCAAAAAATGTCCATACTACAGTTAAACCATACCTGACCGTTCTAAAATGCAAATGAAAAGAGACGTGATGGAAGACATCCGGTGACACCATCTAAGGGCGATTTGGATATTTATAATTTTTTTTTATCTTACAAATGGGAAAAATTTCCTCAAAATCTAAATTGAGATTGTTATTTGAGAGTTTATCTGTCCATTCTACGTATATTTTTAATATGATGTAATTTTAATTAAATTTAATAATAAAAAATTAAATCTTACTGATAAAAAAACCTACCACCAGAGATTATATTTATAAAAAAAAATGACTTTGCGGAGCCTATTGGCTCTACACTCACAAGGGTTAGGACCCAGCCCTTGTAAGACCTACATGAGTCTACCGCTTGCAAGTGTGGAGTTGCGAACTTTTTACTATAGTAAAAAAGTTAGATGTGATTATTTTTGAGAGTTTTTTACTGTAGCAAAACTCGAATCTGTAAAAAGAACGGGCCTGTAGATCGCAGGTCTTATTTTTTAGGATAGGCTGTTATGGCCTTGTTCACTTCGCCGATTTGAGTTTTTAATTCGAGTTGGGATGTGACATTTTCTGAGAGCTTTTCACTGTAGCAGAAAAAGTTAGATGTGATATTTTTTGAGAACTTTTAACCGAAGAAACTTATAACTGAAAACTCAAATCGGTGAAATGAACGATGCCATTTTATAATTATTTCGTGCAAAGTGGCACAAAATTCTCTATAAAAATTCACATGGGTCACATCGTGATTCTAAAAACATAAAAATTACATAAATAATCTTGATAAATATTTTTTAAAAATATATAAATTAAGATTTTTAATTTCTATTTTTGATTTATAATTTTTTTAATTAAATAATTACACTAATAAAAAATTATTTATTAAAAATAAAAAATAAAAATCTAACCTCATACGATTTCTGTGACATCATCCGGATGCTTCCCACAATCCCTCTCAGCCTCCGTACCTCCGCTCAACCTTTATCGTCATAGACAGCAAGACCCAAACAAAATAATTCAAAACTTTTTTAACGCCCCTCTTGATTTTGTGATTACGCCGTCAATTATAACTGCAGAAATCCCCATCCCATTATCGGATCCACTTCCCTACCGCCCCAAACCAAAAACCAAATCTGGAATCTGAAAAATCCCATCTCAATCTCCATTAAAAATTCCCATCCTCTTCAGTCACTTCACTCCCCAAATTTTCCCTCTTCCCAAACGCCAGAAAGAAAATTCCTCATTTTCCCGGAAAATTCTCATTCATTCACGATTCCAGACCCGTCGGCGCACAGACCGAGGCTCGTCGGAGGAGGATTCTCCAAAACCGCATGCCTGTTCCCCGGCTGGGCGTCGTCGGGCTCAATGTTCTCCACGCCTTTCGTCCTCTCTTTCTCCCTCCTCCTCTCTCTCCCCATTCTCTTCCTCCTCGCCCCTCGCTTCCTCCCTCCGACCCAACATTCCGTCGCCATTTCCCCCTCCGACGAGCTCGATGACCTCGCCCTCTTGGACCGCGCCGCCGCCTCCAACAAATTCTCCCGCCTCTCCACCGGCCGCAACCCCAAGCTCAAGATCGCCTTCCTCTTCCTCACCAACTCCGACCTCCACTTCGCCCCTCTCTGGGACCGCTTCTTCAAGTCCGCCCCAAACCCTAATCTCTTCAACATCTACGTCCACGCTGATCCTTCCATTAACATCACTCGCCCTGGTCCCGGCAGTGTCTTCCACGACCGCTTCATCGCCGCAAAACGAACGTACCGCGCCTCCGCAACCCTAATTTCCGCCACGCGCCGGTTACTAGCCACGGCGATCATTGACGATCCTGCCAATACCTTTTTCGCCGTGCTTTCTCAGTATTGCGTCCCTCTGCACTCCTTCAGGTACGTTTACAACTCGCTGATTACGTCCAGGTCGTTTGATTTGACCTCCAACGCCGAGTCCGACGCCGAGTTGACGCGCCTTGGCGTGCGCGGGAGGTACAAGAGCTTCGTTGAGATTCTCTCCAAGTCGCGGAACCTCTGGAAGCGGTACACTGGCAGAGGAAGGTTCGCGATGATGCCGGAGGTGCCGTTCGAGCAGTTCCGGGTCGGATCGCAGTTTTTCGTGCTGACGCGCCGCCACGCGCTTGTGGTGGTCAAGGATCGCACGCTGTGGAGGAAGTTCAGAACTCCGTGCTACAGAGAAGACGAGTGCTATCCGGAGGAGCATTACTTTCCGACGCTCTTCTTGTCAATGTCGGATCCGAATGGCTGTACTCACTACACACTCACTCGGGTTAATTGGACAGGGACGACAAACGGTCATCCGTACACGTATGGTCCTGCGGAAATTTCGCCGGAGCTGATCTATCGTCTTAGGGAATCGAATTACTCGGAATCTTACTTGTTTGCGCGGAAATTCTCGCCGGATTGCTTGAGACCCTTGATGAATATCGCCAAGAAGGTCATTTTCCGGGATTGAGTTAACTGGTGAGTTAAATCTTTCTTATCTAACAATTTTATTTTATGTTTTCTTTAGATAGCGTGTGTGGTTGTTCAATCTAAAGATGGAAAGTTGGATAATTTGGATAATTCTGAATTAGGACAAACATGCATTTGTTTGATGATCTATATGAGCTTAGTGTCCGATTTTCTGAGTTTAATTGGTTATTACATGAATTGGACTGTACCGTACAATGATCATGCATTGCAACATTTTTCAGAACACAACAATTCTTGAGAAAGGGAAATATGCAAAACTTTGTTAGTAATTGAGTGAAGTCTGAACTTGGTATGTTTAAGTGTTGTGTTAGGATATTCACCAAAGCTACATTTTCAAGGAACGAAACAGCTAGTTTGTAGTGTTGAAAGTTAGGAAAATTTCAAAATTTCTGTTTTGCTTTTTCTTGTAGATGGGAAATGCATTGAGTGAATGCTTTTCACAGCAATATCAGAATTGTCTCCTGAGTTAAAATTATCTCTTCCTAGTTCCTCATGAGCCCAAAAAGACGTGGATGCGCCTTTTATTTATTTATATATATTCCTCTGCAATTTGAGAAAGTCCTAGTAGTTGCATTTTAAAACTTTGTTGATAGACTGGAGCTAGTTGCTTTACTGCTTATCCTGCAAGCAATTTGTTTTTAGAGAATTCTATGGCAGAGCCGTTAACCACTTCAGGATTTTAGATAAAATTGAGTGTGTGACAATTTAACAGAACTTCATAAAAATTTAATTATTCAGAACTGTGTCTATTGGTGGACCCTTTTTTTCTTTTCAAATTAAAATTTTGTTTCAACTTTGTATTGGACCTGGATCCAATGTTTATGGTTTCAACTTTCAGCGTAGCAAACTCAAAGAATGAAATGTAGTTTTGTTATTCTGTTCTTCAGGTGAAAAAAATCCTGTGTAGATGTTTCAGTTGTTTCCTTCGTGATGAGGAAGTTGTAGTTTTGGAAAGTAGTCGGAGCTACATGCTGGGAATATATGGTTTTGAAGAGGCGTAAAGACATGCCCACAACCATGAAGCCCAGAAATTCCAATCAGTGTCTTTGAACAAGACGTGAAGAATCAAAAAGCAAGAAAAAGTAAGAAATACCAAGGAAGCAAGCAAGCGAGCGAGGTACTTTTTACTCTTGGTAAATGTTAAAAAGTTGTATTCTTTTCTTTTTTCCTTAGATTAGATATCTTTATTGTGGGGCACAAGTAGGTCTTTTTTTGTCCTTTTGAAGGGTGTTCTGTACATATACAATGTGGGACGTCTACTTCACGAGACCGTGAAAACAAATTTATTAAAAAAGAAAATGAGGAGGAAAAATTCAATGTAAGCCACTTATGTTGGCCTTTGAAATGGGGTAATTATAAAACCAAGTTATAAAATTCCCCCATTTTTTTTTTTTTTTACCACTCTTGAAAGTCCATTGTAATCTTTTTCCCCCTTTGCCATAACCCAAAATTTACTGGCAATTCTACAAAAGTGAAAGTGGGTACAGAGCACAATTGAGCTGGTTGCCGACAATGTAATGGGTATTTTCCTTGGGGGATAATATTAAATGAATGATGGTAGTAGGCTAACCACCAAGAGCTTTTGTTATGGTGGACCATCTTTTGTAAGGTTGCATATCACGTTCACTAAACTTGTTGATAAATACTTTTATATTGTCCTTCAGTTGTTCTAGATGTTAGCACGTCTGTCGGTGTTGTGTTTCTTTCTTTTGGAGTGAGTCACGTGAATGATTAATGTACGGTGTTAAGGACGAAGGTTCATGCCTCCTCTCCTCAACCGCTTGTTACGTACTTGCAAGCCTTATTTATTTATTTATTTTGTGTCGTAAATCTGCACATGATGGTTGGTAGATTCGTGTTATGATTTAAATCATGGTTCGTGATTCTTTACAGTATTTTTTCTCATAAAAAATACACGTAAATTGAAAATAATTTTAAATTATAATTTTAAATACATGAACTAAACGTCTATATTAGTATGAGATCTCTTCAGTTCCATGTTTTATTATCTAGATTCTAGCCGCACTGAAGTATTATTATATTCATATAAGGGTAAACTGCATTGGTGTACCTTGAATTTATTATATTAATCTAGGATTCTCAATTTTACAATCTTTAGCAATGCAGCCCAATCAATAAAGGACTTCAATTCATGGACGACATGTAAGCTCCAAAACGTTGATAAGTTTGGTGTGCATTTGTATAAAAATCTTACTCAAAGTCTCAGCTATTGGATAACAATTGTTACACAATTTTTTGAATTTAGAGTCTAATTTGTCAAAATTAAAAGTTTGAGAATTGAGTTTTGAAAATTGATAAAGTTAGAGTACACCAATGTAATTAACACTTTTCTAATAATTGATTAGTTCTGTAGCAATGTGATATTGTTGGCTATCAATATTGTTACATGCAACGTGACAAAACTGATCACTTTTATCTGGGGTCCCCGCGCGCTAATGTATCATGGGTATCGTGGAAATTGCTGGTAGATTGATTTATCAGTTTGTGTTTTTTCAAAGAAAAAGTATTTAGACCAAAATTACTAGGAAAGGGGTCTTAATGATATTATCACGGATATTCGCTTGGTCATGTGGTTTGAATTATGGTAACGTTTAGTGAGCTTAATATTTGACCTGTTCCCTAACATACCATTATTTTTTCTAATCTGCCTTTAAATCTGGCCCCAAAAGATTATTTAATGCAAAGCTAATCGAAAAATGGAATATTTAAATGCAAATAGGTGTAGAAAACTGTGAATCAATGGAACTTGTCTCTTGCTATTTGGATCCGACAGAGGACGACCACAAATGGGTGTACAATATTTGACTTTGGAGTTTAGTTGTTACTTTAAACGAGACTGTATTTTCGTCAAAAAGAATCAAACAACCAGCTGACCCAACATGAAAGATGGTGCAGATTACAAGTCGGTGATGTTTGTTTGGACTTGAAAAGGACGCCTCAAAGTTCGTTCAAACATCTTTGTTCACTTGTACTAGGAAGTTGCACCAAAGATCTTTGGTCTTATGTTAAAATTATATTTATATTCCTTTTGATCTCAATAAATTATGTTACAAACTCCTCACCAAATCTTGTTTTTATGAGATCTGAAATAATAATAATAATAATAAATTAGCTTTCATCTTAGGTGCCGGATGTTTGAGTCCTTTTGATCTGTTTGGTGATTTCTACTCGAATAGTCCATAACCACTCACACTAATCTGTCAATTAGCAATCCGATTCAGGATTTTTTTTTGGGAAGGAATTATAATACAAGAAACATGCGTTTAAACTCATGGTTTTAATTATGTTATAGTGTTTTTTTTCATAAAAAATTTAAAATTTAAATATCAAATTTAAGAATTACTGATTTAAATGCATGAACTAAACGAGTCTTAATTATTTCAAATCTACAAATTAAAAGAAAAACAAAATCACCAACTTCTCCTTTCTTTCCTTCTCACAGATTAAAATATAAATGGCGATGCAGTTATTGAGGTTTTGACTTGCGATAATATAGATGGCAATAGCAACAATAATATCGATGGAAATATCCTCGTTGATAAAATATTTAGAAAAATAGGAATATTTAATATAAAATACCAAATTTTTTATAGAGCATTATAAATATATATATTACGAAATTTTTTTAACAATGGAGTTAAGTGACACTAGTTTAAAATCTGAAGTGCGAACTTTTAAAAATCAACGGGCAAGTGAGAATGAGAGTAAAGTTTATGCGGGCATATATATGAATAATCTTGTAAAAAGGATTAATCTTAATTGCGCTTTTAAATTTTAAGGTCATTTTCATTTTGCCACTTAATTTTATAAAATCTCACTTTGTTCTTTAAATTTTAAATAATTTGCGCTTTCTGTTATAAATTCTGTCAAAATCATAGGGAAAAAATGGATAATGTGATCACATCATCTTTATGTTAGAATTTCTTTTTAAAAAAATTAAAAAAAAATCACGTGACTATACTTAACCTTCTTTTTTCATTTAATTTTAACAGAAATTTTAACAAAAGAAATTAAGTGGATCTAAATAAAAAATTAAAAATAAAAGTGATAATTTTTAAAATTTAACAGATAAATTAAGAGTGACACTAAAATTTAAAAAGTACTAATGAGATTTAACTCCTTAAAAATGAAATCATATATAGGTCCATTTATATGAAATCAAATAAGTTACCCCAACCCACCTCTCTCTTTCATACACTTTTTCTTTCTTTTTTTTTTTTTTTTTTTTTTTGTAGAAAGAGATAAGACCTAAAGTTTAGAGTCAACCACCGCATAATCTTATGACAAAGAGCATACTTTTTGTGCCCGACATGATTCAGTGGATTGAAATAAGGCTGTATATAATATAGAACATCGTTACCACCATGCCACCACCACCTCAACTCAAATGCATTGGTTTAACCTCAGTTCCCATGCAAAACGAAAGTATGGTGGCAATGCGAGTCCAAAATGCGTTGTGACATATATATACATTATCATTTCAACGTGGACCAAATTTGACTAATATTGCGCTTAGAGTAAGAATTCGTGCCGTGATTCGAATCATGATTCGTAACTTGTATAGTGTTTTTTTTTTATTTTAAAAAACATATATAAACTGAGAATAATTCTGAATCATACTTCTGAATTTATGAACTAAACGTCCACTAAAATTTTTGGCAAATCCGCAGTCAACGTGCACGTGATATCATGGGACATTAGTAAAAATTTCTAAAGATAAATTCTTAGCATTAGTAAAAAAATTAAAAATTAAAAAAACTGTGCTTTCCTCCAGTTTGCACGTTGTACTTGTGTCTCAGCACTCCACTCTGCAAGCAGACAATCAAATATACGTCAACAAGTTTTTCAAAGCTTACGGTATAATCCGGTAGCCCAGCAATGATAGAAGGGCATGAGACTGCTTATCCAGCAAAATCTAAATAACAACCCCACCTTTTATTTTAAAATTTAAGAATATTAAATCCCCTTTTGGTACATTTTGAGGATTGAAAGATTAGCTATTCAACTAACTATTGAAGGAGTATCACTGAGCTTAATAAAAAATGGGTCTCATAATATAAGACTCGGATAAAATCTATTTTTTATTAGTTATGGTTCTTAACATCGATAATGCCTTAAATATTTTTCTTTAATATTAGAGCGAGTTTCTGGGTTATTGATAAGGGACTGATAAACCATACAATAGAAAGTAAAATCACCTATTCAAGTCGATTTCCTTGTGGCATTGAAGTCACACAATGATGCAAGACCATACGAGCATAGACACCAAGTGAATTGGTGAAAATCACACCATAATGAAGCAAAATGATTGCCCAAGGATTGCCTACAAAAATGAGGCTCGCCCAGAATAAATTTTGCTCGACACTACATTCCCAAGGCTTGCATAAGTCCTTTATTCCCGATTGAATTCCCTAGATTCAATGCATTTTCTTGGCTCGTTATCTCTATTTCCGTTTCTAGCTCATTTGTATGGATCAATTTCTATTCCTCCATCCAAAGCAAGCATTTTTCAAGCAAACACATGTTTTAAATTACCACAAGGACAAGACAATACAAATTACATTTGAGAGGTGGCAGCAGTTGTAATACAAATCCACGCGTTATTTACAAATATTTACAGCATTCTGAACTTGAGCACAAGAATACATTTGGTTGGTTTGTGGAAATCCAGGTTGCATAAATGTAGTTACATTGCAATCTCTGTAGTTTGCCGTGGAGGAACGGCAATCTTCAAAGAGCCCTCATAACCACTTTGCTTGTTGCGTGAACACCCTTTGCAGCAACTTTCAGCACTGCACGACTCTGGTACAATCTGCAATCCAAAACCATGTCAATCATGTATGACAGCTCACATCGACATATTCCAATGATCCAATCCAAGCCTAATAATCAAAAGCCAAAAGTATCCCAATTGTGTCCTGATAATGAATATATCCAAGGAAATGTATTTTAGCAGGTTCTGCATTTATGGAAATATGGCTAAGCAGGTTTCTTTTAATGTTTTCCCTGATTCAGTTACATTAGCTTTTACCAAAAGAGAGGGAGAATTAGATAAATCTGAAGAACTTGTAGATTTCACACTCAACATTGAGCAAAAGGTGGGGGAAAAAAAAAAAGAAAGAAAAAAAATTACCCTGTCAGAGCAAGTCCCCATGTGGCCAGGGCATAAAACAATTTTCCAGCATGCCAAATTCCTAATATCTGCTCCAGTTTGTTCACACCACCTAATGCTTTAACCATTGCTGCAAACAATTCAGATCATAAAAGATGAGAGAGATTATCATCCTCCCGCTGGCCGCTACTAAAAGAGGAAAATATAAATATATAAATAAAAGGAACTCCATTTCTCAGTTTAAAGAAGTAGCAATATCAACTTAAGGACGTTAGAGTTGCACTGAGAATTATCAATAGAAGATACTGGAAAAATTAAAATTTAGAAATCATTTTCTAAGAATTAGTAAAGACATCAAACTCCAGAAGAAACATTGCAAAGTAAATTCCATCAGATTCATTTACCAGTTAAACATTCTTTTCAGGGAAAACCTCTGAATGATATCTATCAGTGATGTTGTTCATATACTGACATACTGTTATGATCACCTAAGAAGAAGAGAGAGTGAAAAGTAAAACTGGCTCGTGACCTGTTAATTATAAAAATGTGTCTCTAAAATAGGTAATCAAAAACAAAGAAAGTTTAACTATCCATGTTAAAATATCTTCATACAATACAACTTTTTCTAGAACAACAATTATTCAAAAGTCTCACAGAAGATAAATCAAACGAATGTGCATAATTAGTTAGTAACAAGGTTAAGATGTTAACTTTGTATCTTTTGATTAAAAATTTATTAATTAAGCATACCAAAAAAAATATATAGAAAAGTTCAGGCAAGAACTTACTCTTTTGCAGCTCCTCTGGTGTCAAATTCTGCAATTCCAATGAAGCCAAACACGTGAGAAGAAATGCTATACTTAAAACAAGAGGCATAGTGCTTTTATGTGACATTAACCTGAGCTTTCGGGTTTGAGATAATGCACTTTGCCATAAAGTTTGCAACACCATCCACAACATGCTCCTCAGTGACAACTACATAACTGTCATTATCAATTCCACTCCGTTCCTCAACATTATTCGGAACCATTTCTTCTGTCACCCATACCCACCAACTCGGTTCCTCTTGGTCAACATTGATAAGAACTTCAGCTGTCTCTAGATCAGTTCCTATTGAAGAACCAAAACCAAATTATTACAAAAACACAACACCAAAAAAACTCAAGGGTAAGTATATGGCACTAAATTATACAAACAAAAGGACTAGACCATCAAATTAATCAAACAACCTGTGGCAACCTTGAAAGGAAACTGATTCCCAGTTCCCTTGGCAGATGCTTGCTGGAGGGATTTGATACGAGCCAAGAAGTTCTCAGAGTCAACCGTCGCGACCAGACGGGCATACAACTACATTGCAAAACCCAATCCCCCATTTAGCTTCCCATTGTACATTGTTGCCAAAGCATAAAGTACAAATTCAAAAACAAAAACAAAAAATCACTTTTACCATCTATCTCCATAAACTTGAAAAAATTTAAGTTTTTCGACACGGCATAGAGTTGCAAAGGTCTCAATTTTTCATCCAGTTCTTTCAATTACTCACAGTTTACCATGTTTTGCGTTCTTTTGACACAGCATAGACTTGCAAAGGTCTCAATTTTCATCCTCTTTTTTTAGTTACTCACAGTTATCCAAAAGCGCTTAATTTATTAGGGGTTTCAACAAAAGTTTTATATCTAGCTATCCTTTACCATTTCATAGCCAAAGACTTTCTATAAATAATAATGTAACAGAACAATAATATCAACAAGTGATGCCAAATTTTGTTCCTACAGACATGCCAATCTGAGTTCAATATCCTAGGGTCTTCAATGAAATCTCAAGCAATTGAACATGCCCAAAAGGTCTCAATTCTCCATCCAAATTCCCCCAATTACTAGCAGAAATTCCAATTTGGGTCTGCCATCTTAGGGTTTCAAACGAAAATTCCGAGCAATTGAATTCATCATCAAAAATACCAAACTTGCAATTAAATCTTCAACGAAAAAGAACATAAGAAAAGCGTACATCAGGAGGGCAATCGTTCAACAAAGAAGGCGAATCGGAGAGGCTCTGAAGGAGCTTGAGATTCTGCTGAAGCAAGCTCCTGAGACGCTGATTCTCCGATCGGAGAGACTCCAAATCGTCGCCGGAAGAAGCGTGGTCAGCGGCGTCGGCAGAGGCATCGTGGTCATGATTGTGGCGGTGGTGTTGGCAGCATTCCATGGCGGTCCAAGCGACGTCGGCGACCTCCACAACGGTCTTTGCCACCTCTATCGCTCCGTGGCCGCCCATGGCAAACGACGACAAGTTTTTGGTTGCGTGTCGAGAAATGATTTTCTTGAACAGTGTGAAGAGCGTAGAGAAAGAAATGGGGTGCGGGCGCAGATCATCATGATGATCGATGACAAATGAAGTAGCGGGGGCCCCTTGCCCGCTGCCCGCGCGCCTTCATGGGTCGGGTAACCAGCTTGTTTACCCATTTATCACTATAGTCTGTATATTCTAAATACTAATGTTAATCGTATATTTTAGAGTAAAAAGTATGATAGAATCTGTTATTTTTATTTGTATTTTTAATATATAATACTATTTAAAATGTTAAATTTACCTTTTTATATTAACATTAAGCTTTAAAAGTTGTAAAAGACTTCTAATTTTTAAAAATAACCAATTATAAAGCGCATTTTTTATATCAACATTAAGCTTTGAAAGTTGTAAAAGACTTCTAATTTTTAAAAATAACCAATTATAAAGCGCAATCAGTATAAACACTTAAGCCCTTAGTATGATAATATGTTCATAACTAAGCATAATTGCTTTTGCATGCTAAGGCTTCATTCGTTTTGCCGATTTGAGTTTTCAATTTAAGCTAAGATGTGACATTTTCTGAGAGTTTTTAACTGTAACAGAAAAAAAAATAGATGTGATATTTTCTGAGAGCTTTTAACTATATAAATTTAAACTGAAAACTCGAATCGGTAAAATGAACGATGCCTAATGAAATGCTTTAATTATGTTTTTGTGAGTAAACGAGCGAAAGCTAATTTTAATATGTTTATACTATAAGTAAGAAACCAATCAATAATGCTTGATGGACTAAGTGTGAGAGACTGGATAGAAGTGAAGATGGGACATGGATATCGCTGCGCAACCTTTTATTTCAAAAATTTATGTTTTGTTATTTATAACATTTGTACTGTATTGATATAATAGAAATGCTAAGGACATCAATTAAAATCTTAACTCTTTTGCAGTAAATGGTGTGACATATGAGTTGTCATTTTTTTTTTATTAATGCATGCAATCTCTTATCATTAATTAAAGTGTCAATGTTTTAAACGCCTAGCAATATAAAAATAACAACTCACATAGCACATCAGTTAGTATATAAAAGTTGAGATTAGAATTGGTCTAGCATTATTATTTATATAATACTTTAATTAAGTTATGCAAATGTTAATTATTAATTGGACATTTGGTTCATGGATTTAGAACCATGATTCAGAATCATGGACGAATACAGGAAACAAACGTCCAATAAGTGATGTACAAACTTAGTCTATGCCGGTTAAGACAATATGCTACACAAATTATATTTATTTATTTCAAGGATCTAATATATAACTGTTTCAATCGAGTAATTTTTTCATTAGGTTACTTGAATTAAAACCAAGGTTTTTTGTAAGTTGCCCCGTATTAAGTAGTGGAGAAACAAGTTAATCAGTGCACGCCCGGTCAACTAGTGGAATATGTACGGTTGATAAGAACATGACTTAGCACGAAGATTTTGCATCTTAGCTAGTTGATCAGTGGTATACTATTGGTTTATCCTGACCGGTTAATTGGTGAAAATACACACCTTTAGAACATGTTGATCGATGAAAATACACGATGCTAGAACAAGTCGATGGTGCATTGAAAAAGGTAATCGACATAATTAGATTTGAATCGCGATTTTAAGTTTTGTTAAACTTATTAGTTGTAGAAATAAGACCTACTAACCATCCTAAATAGCCTATTAAGTCCCATTAAATCTTAAAATCACTTTAGAGTTTTGAGAGGATTTTTTAAGCCAGTGACCTCCAAATGACATACTACTTAATTAATAGACCCTTTATAAAAATTATTTTGTTTTTATTTATTTTCTTTTAGTTTTTAAGTTAAATTACAAAATTACCCCCAATGTTTTAAACAAAAAAAGCCTTCAGAAGAGGGGATATGAGAAGACAAATGTGAAAATATTTTTAAAACAAAAAAGTAAGAAATCCCCCCAAAACTTGCTTCTCCTTCATCCCATTCTCCTTCAAACGACCGAAAGCCCCCTAAAACAAAAAAAAAAAACAAAAACAAAAAAAAAACTTTGCAACCACAAATTTGGGGCCTATTGACTTAAAAAATCCCATCAGAATGGGTCCTTTTGAAAAATAGGCTTAAAATGTGTAATGTGTTTAATGAGTAGGCTCCAAAATAGAAAGTTTCAATGAGTAGGCCTCTCATTAAATGAAAAAATGTGTATTTCCTAAATGCCCTTCTCCTTTTCTCTCAAATTAAAAGAAAAAACGTTTGAAAATGAGGAGCTAAATCCCCTCCTTCGCTGGGCAGTCACGAGGAAACGTTGCCGGCCAAAGTTCACCGGCGGCGCTGTCTTTCACCGCTGGAGAATGCCCCTACCTCTGGTATTCTCTCAAATCTTGTATTTTTTATGCTTAATTCATTGTTTGAATGCTGGGTAATCATGGTTTGGTATTTTATTTGAAAAACCAACAAGAATCATGCTATTTCATGGCCTCTTCGGAGTTGAGTAATCTGCAAAATCGAAGAAACTCACGTCTGTCATTTCTTTCCGTTCTGACTGGAGGGAGCGGTAAGAAACTTGAGTCCGGTCAGAAAGTTCTTACTGGTGTGCCCTGTAAGAAAATTGCCAACCGGTCTTTCCAGTAAGAAAGATCTGATCGGGCATAATTTTGCCTCTCTTTAAGGTGACCCATCGTTTTTCCCTCCCCATTTAAAGGATATTTTGGTCATTCACTCTTATCCCAGGAATAAAAAAAATGAAAATTGAAATTCCATTTATAACGGGTCTACGAATTGAATGGGTGTACATTTGGGGCCTATTGACTTAAAAAATCCCATCAGAATCCACCGGTTTTCCGGCCCCCAGCCACTTGTCCGTGCTTCCGCCGTCTCTCCGGTCCCAAAACCAACCCAGTAACTTCCTTCTCATTCGCCCCCTTCTCCTTCAAACAACCAAAATCCCCCCAAAACCAAAAAAAAAAACCTTGCCTTTTGTCGGTAACATCGTCGGAATCCACCGGTTCTCCGACCTCCGGCCACTTGTTCGTGCTTCCGCCGTCTCTGTAGTCCCAAAAGCAATCCACTAACTCCAGTAAAGTCAGACAACTCCTTACCGTAAAGGTAACCTCCTTACTCCGGCCACTCCTCCCGGCACTCCTCACTCCTCATCGTGAGGTATCTGTGTTTGTTTTGTGTTTTTGTTTCGTGATCTAGATTGTTGGTTTTGTGTTCTTGGTGTGGATTCTGTTATTGCATTAGTGAACACCATATGTTCGATAAAAGGCTTGACTTGTTTTTGTGACATTTATTTTTGAATGTTTACTGTAAAATCGTGTAAATGTGTGTCTTAGTTCTAAAAATGTATTTGATATGTGAAATACGACTTGTTGCATTAGTGCCCACCATGTGTTCAATAAAAGGCTTGACTTGTTTTGTGACATTTCTCTGTATTTTTCACATTTTTATTCATGTTTTGGTGTGAATTAATTTTTTAGTCTTTTAAGCTTCTATGAATCACGTAATACTTGCATCTTATGTTAAAAGATTCAGTTTGTATATTTGAGAAAGGAATGAGAGAAAAGAAAAAAGGGAAGAACGAAAATGTGAATTATCCTTAATTTGAATAGCATTAAAACATAACAAGAATCTAATACGTTAAATTCAATATTTAAAGTTTAGTATATGCATTACTCTTTACAATGAGAGATTCGTCTTAAGACTGTTAACTTTTATTGTTTGGAAACTAGTTGAAGCTAATATGGCGCCGAAGCGGACCACACCGGGCTCTTCTCCCCCTCCGACTCAACGTCATCGTTATGGGGAGCCATCGGTAACAGAGTTAGAGATGATTGCAGGGTCAAGGAGATAATATGTTTTATGATTCCCTGACCGCATCGAGACATGATGACTCTAATGATTCTTATCATCACCAAATGGACCAAAATACCGAGGCCGCGCAACCTGATGTTATACCGAAAAAGTAATCAAAGAGGTCAAAGTATAAGCGAACTCCGTTCACAGATCCTCAAAGTACAAGAGAACCCCGTGACCACCTATGATTGGATAGTGTTTTTGAACTGTATTTACTATTTTGAACGTGTATGAGGCTGATGATGAATTGTATAACTTTGTATAAACTAGGTTTTTTTCCCTTTCTTCTGCAGAAACACACAGAATTTTATAGGCATATTGTGGATTTATCTAAGTTACGTATGTTTTTGGACTTGTAGTCGTGGACAAGTATGGTTTACTTGCGTTATGCTATTTTCTTTCCATTCTTACCGATACGGGTAAGAACGGTCAAAAACGACCGAGAGGCCAAGTATGGTCTATGTAAGTTTCTTACCGTTCTTACCGGTACCGGTAGTCAGAAATGGCTGAGAGGCCAAGTATGCTGTATGTATGTTTCTTACCGGTACCACTAAGAATGGTTAGAAACAGTCGAGGCCAAGTATGGTCTTTGTATGTTTCTTACCGGTAAGAACGATAAGAAACGGTCAAGAGGCCAAGTATGGTGTATGTATGTTTCTTACTGTTCTTACCGGTACCGGTAAGGATGGTCAGTGGCCGAGAGGCCAAGTATGGTCTCTGTATGTTTCTTACCAGTAAGAATGGTCTGAAACGGCCGAGAGGCTAAGTATGGTATCTGTATGTTCATGTATGTTTCTTACTGTTCTTACCGGTACCGGTAAGGATGGTCAGAAATGGCCGAGAGGCCAAGTATGGTCTCTGTATGTTTCTTACCGGTAAGAATGGTCTGAAACGGCCGAGAGGCTAAGTATGGTATCTGTATGTTTCTTACCGTTCTTACCGGTACCAATAAGAACGATCATAAACAGCCGAGAGGCCAAGTATAGTCTTTGTAAGTTTCTTATCGTTCTTACCGGTACCCGTAAGAACGGTCAGAAATGACGGAAAGGCCAAGTATGGTGTATGTATATTTTTTACCGTTCTTACAGGTACCGGATGTTTCTTACCAGTAAGGACGGTCAGAAACGGCCGAGAGGCCAAGTATGGTATCTGTATGTTTCTTACCAGTAAGAACGGTCAGAAATGGCCGAGAGGCCAAGTATGGTCTCTGTAAGTTTCTTACCGTTCTTA